CATCGTCTTCCATGACCACAAGCCCAGGTGTCCTTTTGGAAAAATCGCCGGAGCTCTTAGAACCACATGAGCCAAACTGAAAGAATGGGATTCGCGCCTGCAAGTAGGAGGTCTCCTTGGTCAAGTTCCGCAAATCGCTGGCCTCGAAAAGCACGAAGCGATGGAATGGAGGCGGGCTTCAGGGTGAAATCAATTAAGTGTGTACTGCTCGTTCAGACAAACCTGTGCCTAATGTCCATTGAGTGCTTGCCTTTTAAAGACCAGCACGTGATGTTGCGTAAACAAAAAAACACTCTTGGTGGTGGTGTGGCTTTTGAATGGGACACCAATCTCTTGGAAGGATCCAACTTGATTTGACATTTCATCCTGTTAAACAAGTTGCGACCGTTGTGACCTATTTAAATTTGGCACCGCTTTGCAAATCACCTACAGGAAATGGAGCACCATTTCGAGCGCCCCGTCCACACATCCCAAAAAATACGGTCGCCGTAACATCGGGTTCCTTTTGGGTTCCGAAACAGGTGACATATAGTCAATTACAGGGTCCAAGACAGGGACAGTCAGTTTGACAACTTGACAAACAGAGTTTGCCTCTGCTTGGTTACGAATTCATCGACCCCCTAAAACCGTAACACCATCTATTAAAGGAGTCTTCAGGTTCCGCTAACCCCCGCTACCCGATTTGTTAGTAAGTGGTTTGTGCCATTGTTCACAGGGTTGCATCCATAGCTGTTCCCCCTTTGGGAAAACGGTGGAAAATTACTATCTATATTATGTGTATATATATATATGCATAAGGTCAGCCCTCCTTATTCTACCTGTTGCGGTTTGAAGTCCTTTCATGAGTTTTGTGTATTGACAAAAAACAATAATGACATGCAGAAGGCAGATCATGGAAAAGGCTCAGCCTATTTTTATATGTATGGGCATAATATGTAGTGGGGATTCGAGTCCACCAACCACTTTTAAGCTGGCTCCCTAGTAAACTCATAGCCCAATTCATCAAAAGATATGGCTGTCGGTCAAAAGCCCGTACCCCTAGTGAACATGCCAATCCCCACTAAAATGGGTTCTAAAATGGGTGGTGCACCTACCCCAAAATGGGATCCCATTGGTTTTGACCCACAGCCATTTTGATCGTTGGAGTTCTGGTAAGGCCCATATGGAGTGCCTCGGCCTCGACTCGCGGGGGCGGAGAGAAGCCTCGATGCGACGGGCCCGCCCCGACCCCAAGCCACCGGGAGGGGGGCCTCAAAATGAGAGGCACTCGTTCCAGGTGGCTTTAGGTTTCCTTTGAGACAGACCCAAATGGTGTCCAGAACCTATGCAACCCATTTGCCCTGGACCTTTGTGGTAGGTAGTGATTTGGGGGTCGCGGAAACCCTCTTGGACCAATGAACCTCCACTCAAACACTTGAGCAGGCGGCACAGTGGTTTCTCAGCTTAGCAGAGTGACCCCGTCTTCAGATGATTTCAAAGTTCAGGTTGTTCAAGTTGTTCAAGTTGTTCAAGCTTGTGCTTCGACGGGTATACATTCTCAATCATACTGCCATCCTATCAATTGCCTTGCTGTTACTGTCAGAACTCCCCCAATTCCATTTCGCCCTGCTCTTCCAGTTCGCCGTCTTTTCCCAATGAACGGCGTCAGCCAAACCCAGCACACGAATCTGAACCATGTCACGATGGGTCTGGAAGCCCTGCTGACACCCAAAACATCCCAAAACAAAGGATGCCAAAAGGGCAACGCGTAACTTTGATACTCAAATAATGCAACCCTCGTGGTTGACCGAAGAGGGTGTCTCACATTAAAGGGACTCACTTTCGGGAAACGCTGTCGGAGCATTCGAAACATGGTCATGGTAGTCTCGCGCGAGCTTCCCGTTTGCAAGGACCTCACAGTCTACACCAAACCGGCAGTTTCTCGGTTCAGTTCAGATTGCTGACTCTTTGAACAAAACCAATCGCACCAACTTGCTTACGCAACCTGCGTTTGGTTTCCTTTGAAGGGGGCGTCAAAACATTCTGCCACCACGGGGTCCGTAACAAGTGGGCTGTCAGGGCTTCCCCTTTGGCACCATTTCTCCCATGCCCCCTTGCCCCCAAGAGAAATTTGATCGGTCGAAAGACGGGGGTGTCAGAAGCAAACCCTGGTCACGGTCACGCTCGGGTTCAGGCTCAGATCCAAATCTGGGAACTGCTGCAGCGACAGAGTGAGCTGAGAGAAGCCCTGCGACAGTTGATGCGCATTCGAATGGTGGCAGGATTTTATGTGGCTGTGGCTCAAAAACAATGGTGCCATTTTGGGGTAGGTGCACCACCCATTTTAGTCTATTGTAGTGGGGATTGGGATGTTCACTGGGAGTTTGACCCATGGCCATGTCAACCTTAGTGCCTGATTCTCCCTCAAGGTGAGGTTCGCCAGCACAGAAGTGGGAACCAACCAACGGCTCCTTCCCACCAACCTGTGCTCGACACGCAGGGCAGTACCGCAAATCTCTGTGACTCTATGACCCCAACCAACAGCAAACTTCAGTGGAGATCCCTGGAAGACAAGTTTCCCTTTCTTTCAGGACCTTTTTGCTGGCTTCCTTGCTGGGTGGGAGGAGAACCCTAACTCTTGGAACTGACCCTACGTTCAATGTTGACACCGGAACTAACTCCTGCTTGGAGACGATCCCCCCTTACCCACTACAATCCAATACTGAAACAGCAACTCCCAATGATCAAAGCCGAGGGGAGATCCAAGCTCCTAAATCCTTCTTCTTTTGCAAGGGGGCCACGACGTGTTTTCCTCGAAGTGACCAAAGGGAACCATTGAAGTGAGAATCTGAAGCTCAACACTCGCAGCCTCCGTTTGCAAGGTGTTGCTCTTGAGCAGCTCCAGGAAACTTTCCTGCGACTCAGCCCACACGGAACCCGACTCCTATTGATCACTGCTTTGCTGATTGGAAGGGAAAATCAAGCAAACCCGAAAGGGCAAAAGAGAAACAGGGTTAGGTCAGTTCGGCATTGCTTGACCCCAAAAGGATCGAACGTGATCTCTGGCGGCCAAAACTAGACAACCTCAAGGTCAGGTGGTTGGCTTTGGGCAAGTGAGCCAAGCACTTTCATGCGGTCTGCGCCGAAAGCAAGTTGCCCGGCACAGAACAAATAAACAACACCGCGATGCTTGGCAGAGTAGATTGCGACTGTGGCCTTTGTGGGCGAGACTTTCTGACGCGCTTCACACAGGAGGTACCGAGTTCGAGGTTCCCCCGTCCTGCAGAATGACTTCAGGACTGTGGGGTTCTATCAACATGGCTATTAAGAATTATTGGAAGGGCCCGTACTGCTTGAGATACTGAGCATATGTGGTTTGGGTTATTCACGTCAAACACTAGGGGAAAGAACCCACTAGATTGGTCAAAAGGAATCGGTTTTGTGCGCTGCTTTGTTGAGCTTGGACACGTTTCGGTCAGCATATTATCCATCCGCATGTGCCATGGTCAAAACTCCTTACACGGTCATGACTCCCTGAACAGGAACCCTTACAGGTGTCGAAACCACGCATGGGACGGCCATGAACGTCCCTAGCAAGCCCAAAGTAGGGTAGTTTGTCCATGGCACACAGGGGGTGTTCAGAGCCGCTGTTGTCACTGCCCCGCTCCCAACCCATTCGTGGTGAGCATTTGGCTCAACGTGTCCTAGATATGAACACCTATGAAGCTGGTTATTTGGTGAAATGTTTTTTTTTTTTTTTTTTTCTTTTTTTTTTTCGCTCGATTGTGGAAAACCAGGTCTCAAAGGGGTCCAACATGGCCATACAGGATCTATACAATCAACCGTTTGTTAATATGCCTCACTGACACGTTCAAACATTTGAAAGCGTGAGCGGCTGAGGCCATGAAAGCATACCAAATGACGATTTAGTGGGGACTGCCTATCCGAAAATAATCCAAGAAAATTATCCGCAGGATTGCAGTTGAAAGACCTAGGCACCAAGGTGTTGACATATTTTGCCAATTCATGCTAACCCTGTCACAAACTAAGTGGTGTTCTCCCGATTCCACTCCAAAGTGAGGCACCCTTTGTTAATCAACAGAGGGTTTGCCAATGTGGGGCGAACAGTAATAGGGCTCCAGGCGCCATTCCCAATCGCCAGCAGGCGTCCCCCTTCACGCTTTCCCACCTTCAGCTGCTTCTCGTAATTTCGGGAGTCGATCTTGGTGACAAACCTGAGTGGGCTGCGCTAAGCACGCAAAGCGAGAAATCAGGTTAGGTTGCCGTGTGGCTGTTTGCTTTTTCCTTTCACCCTGGGTCCCATTTGAGAAAACGTTGCCAATCTATTGCAGCAAACCATTTTGTCACCTGCGCTCTTGTTCAACCACACGACTGGGTCCGACTTAAAACAAAGGGTCGCAAATGGATGGTGTCCTTCTGGCCTTCTTTTGACCCCAACGGGAAGGGGTCCCCCAATACCTTGCCCGGATCATGATACTGAGATCGTGGCGACATACCGGCAAAGAATTCCTTGGGCGACAGCCTTGCAAGCTCAAGGATGAGCTCACTAAGTGTTACCCCCTAAAACCCCGCAAAAAATGTAACCTTTTGGGGGCTGGGGGTGGGGGCCGGGGCTTGACACCGAAAAGAGGGGTCCAGTCCCCAAACGCGAATTCCTCTGGTGGGCTTCCGCGTATGTTCGTCTGGGGAGCGATTGGATGGATAGCCATGCCTATAGTAATCTCACACATGTGTTCCCTGAATGGAACAGAGGGCCCCAACACCACCTCTCAGGAAAGGTTTTGCTAATCAGCCAATCTTCTTGATCCAAGGGTTCCGTGAACCTTGTAGAGGGGGTGCGACTTTGTCTCTCCTGAACAGACCATGAACTCAATGAACAGTTTGTCTAAAATGTGCGGGCCATTTCTGTGGGCCTCATTTTACAGTCTCGCTTCCGGGGGTACGTACCAACAACAAGCCAGTGGGTCACACAAGGCTCATGCATTGACGGGATCCATACCGATGGCCGGTACATGTATACACATATATGGTTATGAGGTCTGTCACGGAGGTCCTTGTTACGCAGGCCTGTAACGGGAAAACATTTCCTGACAAGTACCAGTATCAGTAGCACAATGTAGTGCAGAACAACGAAGAGCAGCAGCTCCCGCTCGACAGTCGCAACTCTTCAGTACAAGCGCAGTACGAAAAGCACGTCTCCGCAGCTCCAGTTAAAGTTTGCAACTGGCAAAAGCCAAGCGATGGCAAAAAGGGGGGTCACGGGTTCGGGTTGGCTCTGTAACGAGGTATGTAACGGCTATGTAACGAGGTCTGTAACGAGGCAAAGCAAAGCGCAGTACGCAAAAGCGCCCCCCCGCAGCTCCAAGCGTCTGTAACGCGGTATGTAACGGCTGTGCAACGAATTCTGTAACGAGACAAAGCAAAGCACAGTAGCAATAGCTGCTCCTGTTTCAACTTTTCATCTGAATGGCAAGCTCTCTGCAAGTTGACTCTTCAGCGAAAGCATGCTCTGCAAAGGTCTGATCTGCAGGCACCCATGCGAAATCACTGAGAGTCTGTGAGGAGCACGCAACCAGCCAAGGGGTATGTAACGAGCCAGTGGAGCTTGTTACGGAGGTCTGTAACGAGGTCTGTAACGAATGTCCGCCGCGGCTCTGTTGCAGACCCCTCAAAAAAAACACAGCCATATTTATATATAAGCATTACTAGTTTTTTGGGAAGTGGGTGGTGGTTGGAGGATAGTGATAGCCAACATATGTCAGAGACCGTGATGGATTGTGGATTCGTAAATGCACACAACACACCCACACTAGTGCATACAAGTGTAGCACAACTCGAGTGGGTTGCAGGATGCCGATGCATGTGTTGAATAACATTCAGCTGGTCGCCTGCACGACATCCGAGTGTATCAATGCTAGCGACATTACAAAGAGGCGGTGCTATGTCGGCATTCCTGTTCTGTGGACTGGTCCCCAAATGATTTTCTATCCTTGATTTGCATCCTCAGCCATCTGAGTAAAAGTGATAGCTGTTTTTGGGATACGATTCCAGCCCTTTCACCGCTGAAGATTTCTTGGAGACTCTGTTTGCCCAAACGTAGCGGTTGGAGCACCCTCCGGCGGGCCTACATTTCTTTGTCCAAAGGGTCCATGCCTGCCTTTGGATACCCTTTGGAATGACCAAAAACAGTCCACCATTTAAGGTTTGGTCGTGTTTTTTGGGGGTATGGCTTTTTGGCTTTAAAGTAAACTAACCGCACCGCCAACATTTCTGATATACCCCTGTTTTAAGACATGCCCATTTTGAGAAACCCTCTCTCGGAACTTCGCGCCTGTCCCAAAGCTTGTTGGGCCCAATGATCTTCTTCACCTCGTGCCGACGGACAAATGGGACCCCTTGAACAGGATTGAACAAATGAAATGTCTTTGTTAGGTCCGCTAAACATGGTGGCTCTCCTGGTCTTGTTGTGACTTTAAACCAAAAAACCGCCAAAAGGAGGGCAAGGGTACCGTCAAAGAAAAGACAGACCCAAACAGGTCTGTCTTCGTTGAGTTGGTACCCTTTTTGTCCATGGTTGTATTTTTTCTGGGGAACCAAAAAGAAACCGAAGACCACTGTGGGGCTCCTATTTTGAGAGACATGGGCCCCTTGTGGATGCTACATCTCGATCCTTTGCAATCGGAAGCCGCTGAATCGAACCCAGGGCCCACTGGTTGCAATCCATGGGGTGCTCCCACGTTGGTGGCTGGTATTGGTGGATTCGGGACTTCACAAAATTGTGGCAAACCTCTAGAGCGATTTCTCAAATCACCGAGCAAGTGGAGGCTGAATTCATCTGCTAAGTCCCGTGGCTGGCGTATTGGTCGCTCCAAAATGGCAAAACAGAACACATCCAATTGCGATCTGGTAAGTGCAGGCCAATTGTAGGGTTCCTTTTGCTTCCTAACAAAGCATGGAACCTACTGTTAAGCTGATTACACGCAATCAACCACTGTTTGTCTGAACGGCATTTGGCTTGTGGTGAGTGAACACCCTATTCTCAAACAGTACTTTGGTGCGTGCTGAACATAGTCGCACGTCAATAGCAAAACTCGATCGCACACGGAGAGATTACCATAATACCGTGTTCCAACAATGTACTTGAAGTCTCTTTTGGACCCTTGAAAAAACAAAGGTTTGAAGGTACTGACAAACCTTGTGATAACAAGGGGTCATGGAGAATCTTTGTTCCAATACGGCCAGGACGTCCATTGCTTGGCTGGCTTCTCTCTTCGTGCTAGGCCCAAGCCTCCTGGTAGAGCTGCACCATCTCCTTAGGCGCGACTGCGATGCCCACGTTCGGGCCCCAAACCCCAAATCCCAACTGAGTCGCACTGCGACACAATCAACACCCAGTAAACGGGTCGACCCAGAACCCCTTTTAAGGAATCAAAAGTGCGGAAGCTTGTCGCGCCTATTTCATCCATTTCTGGTGCTACCAACCTTGAGGGTTTTGTTGCAGTCCGAACAGCATCCCACGGGTTGAGCGATTGAACAAAAGCGCAGCCCGTGTCAAACTCTCTGACAGCCAGGAATGCGAATTTCCTGTCAGGCTATTGCTTTGGCCAACCTGCCATCTTGATTCCCAACAAACATGGACTGGAGCTGTCTCAAACAACTGAAGGGTGGCTTCCCCTTAGTTTCCCTTTGATGCCTGCTGCGCTCACTTGAGGTTTCCATCTCCAACAGGAAATGGAATTCCAGCCGTCCCTCCCCCACTCAAGCATTGTGTTGAAGGGCTGGGTATATGATTGTAGTGGATCAATATATAAACCCCAACTTCAGGGAAACCCTTCCTGGGTTGTGGGGGGAAGAGCTGGCAAAATCACAACACCCCTCCCCCGGCAGATTTCCACGAGCGACCCCTGGATTGGGACTGGGTTCCCCCCCCATCTCTCGTCCTGAATCACTTGTCGCCAGTGGGATGTATGTCTGACTATGGACTCCCTTTCTCCAAAATGTCCCCAATGGACGACCAATAGTGGGGTTTCTCAAAACAGGGGACCCTCCCCTGCACCCAAGAAAGGTGGTTTAAAGAAAAAACAGCAGGCAGAAAACCATTTTGGGTGTGCCTTTGTGCAGGAATCGGACCCCCCAAACTAGTTGTCCCGTTGGCTTCCCTTTAAAGCCGGCACCCCAGCAAAAGGCCCGCCCTTTCTTTCAGGGTTCCCTTTGAGACTCTCCCCTCTCATCTGCAACTCTGGGCCTTCCGGCCCGTGGCACCAGCGTCAAGTCCGAGGACATGCCGTTCCGGCGCACCGAGCTCTCCACAAGGCAGCAAAACGGGTGTAGCGGCCTGTGCGACAACATAACCCAAGCATCCGCCATCCTTAGAGTAAGCTCCCTTTGCAGTTCAATGGGTAAGTAGCTTTGCCTTCCGAAGCCAAAAAAGAAACACACACCCAAGAAAAACAATGGTTTACAGCCTTCAGATACTACTCGGAAAAGCCAGGAAGCATGTCATAAAGCAAGTATGAAAGCCCTAGCCATTGTCAGAGTGAAGCTCGAACGCAAAATCGCATTGGACATTGCAAAGGAAAGCCGGGAAGGAAGCTAAGACTCTTCAAAGCACCACATTGGTGCTACTGGTACCTTAATCGCGAAACGGTGCATCCTTTACGCCGCATAAGGATTAGTGCCAAAATGGGAGGATTGCCCAGCTCCACTGGGCAGCTCCCCTCAGCAGCTGATGGGAGTAGAATTGATGCCACTCCCACAGCGAGGGAGGAATCCTCCCACCTCACCGGATGCCCTCCCGGCATCATGGGTGAGGAAGGAAAGTAGCGAAGATCAGCTTGATCAATTCGCTTTCGACTGAGGGGAAGACCCGGTTCTCAGTCGGAAATTGCGGGTCCGGATGAGTAAGTTCATCCGCCCATGTGTTAAAGTCGCGCTTCACATGCGACGGTCCTAACATGACCTGGTGGTCATGCAGTGTTAACACAATTTCCATGAGGATGGCCGCATTGGGCATCCTGCGAGTGGAATCGTTAAGCAGGGAGAAAACGTTTCCCTGGTTATCACTAGCAACCAGAATCCTAGTGTGAGAAGCCGAGCCGGCTGCACAAAGCAGAACAGCCCTCACCAAAAGGAGGAGGCCGAAGAGCTCCAAGGCCGCTATCGCCCGCTGCGGGTCCCCAGTAGTGAAGGCCCACGGCTCGCCCTCCGGTGTGATTCTGTGTTGGAACCACTTCACTCGGGACTTGTCGGGGTTGGGCACGTCCGAGCACCAACCACCAACCCATGCATGGTCCGCCTGTTTGCCAGCTCCCGCATCAGATGCCCCCGTCCATGGAAGTGTGGGAGCAAATGGAGATGCCAGTGGGAACCTCTGGTTGAAGAGCTTCCCCAGAAGGATGGCCAGAGCACGAACCAGCTTCGGTGGCCTGCCCGAAGTGGTGCAGGCCTTCTTCCAGCTCCAAAAGGGCTGGAGGAAAGGTTTCGTCAATGGACACGCCGAAGTAGCCCATTGAATCCGGCCCAGGGCTTGTTCCACCTCCTTGCTGGTAAAGATGTCCCCCTGGGCCAGCCGTTTGAGAGTGGCCAGGATTATGACGTGCTTGACTGGAGCCAGCAGCACACAGGGCGTGATTGGGTCCACCACGAATCCCAACCAGGTATTGACCGGGGAGAGCGCCGTCTTCTTCCAAGAAAGCGGGACTCCCAGCGCCAGAAGAGTGGCCAGGATGGCTGTGGCGTCCCAGTCCGCCCTGCTGCATCTGAGGACCCAGCAGTAGTCGTCCACAAAAACTAAGTGCCAGTCCACCTGAGGGAAGATGTAGTACAAGAGTCTGAGCACCAAGGATGCCTTTCTTCCCCAGTACAGTTGTGCCGAGGCCATGCCGTACGTGCCCACTCTATTGACCCACCACCGGTTCTGGATGCAGGCCACCTGGTATTTCCAGTCTTTCTGGAGCACTTTTATGCGCCTGTGGGCCTTGGTGACATCCGCCTTGAGGATGATGAAGGTTTCCCCCTGTGTCGGCGGCTGCCACGTCAGGGGTTCCCCCCTGCTCCCCCCAGGGCGTTCCGTGCCTGGGGCCCTCCTATCAGGGCCCTCGGCACCTGGGAGTGGCCCCTTCCCTGAGGGTGTTGACCGCGGAGAGACGTCCAGGCCGCCGGAGGTCTCCATCATCCGCCTGCCCCTATCAGGGCCCTCGGCACCTGGGGGCAGGCTGGTGCTGTGGGGGTCCCTCTCAGGGCCCTCGGCACCTGGGGACTGCCCCTGCACCGGCTGGTGAACATCCCGAGGTTCCTCATCAGTGCCCGAGGATGGGGCTCGGAGTAGATGAGGATGGTCCGCCGCTGTCCTGAGCCAGTGGATGGCATGGAGGCAGTCTCCAACCATCGGTGCGGTGGTCTTCTCCTCCGTGTGAGCCTGGATGTGTGCGTTTGCTCCCCCTTTTGAGCCATCATAGATCGTCCTGATCTTGTCCGACTCATCAATCCCTGCAAGGGGGCCCGGGCAAAGTTCCTCCGGTTTGCAGCGGCACCTCTCTGCCGCCTCGGAGCGAGTGAAGGGCCCGTCCACCATGTCCAAGGCTCGTTCCTCGTAAAAGGTTGATTCGATTTCCTTGGCAAAGAGTTCAGCCGTTGGGTAGTTATCATGAGCCACTGGCGGGGGGGGATCTTCCCCCAGCCAGGCTTCTCCCTTAAGCTCCTCCTTAGTGGGCCAAACTCCCGGGGAGGTCAAGGTAGGGTCCGAGACTCCCAAGGGGACCCCCTCTTTCAGTGTTAGGGGGAACTCCCAATCAGGGTCACCTGAAAGGGATGCCAAGTGCGACACTAAGTCCAGGAGGAAGGGTTGTCCTGGGCATCGTTCATGGAGGTGCCTCGGTCCTAGGATAGCCCGCAGCTCCTCGAGGTCGGCTTCCTGGAAGGGGTGTGTGGTGGCACCTGATGCCAGGGACATTCGGACCTTGTCAATCCAGGGCCGGGTAAGGGTCATGATCAGGGCGCCCAAAGTAGCCAATGGGGAAATTCTCCGAAAAGGGGGGTTGAGCCTCCCTGGGGAAGGTTTTCCCCCCCCATCCCTCAGGGGGCGTGAGCGGAAACCCAATTGGACAATCGCCACCCGGTCAGTGAGGTGTGGGACCCTGAAAGCGGGCAGGCATTCGGGGCGGTCCAGGACCTGGTCCCCCTGTCCCTCCTTCCCCAGTTGTTCCGCATCTCCGGCCATCGGGGGCATGGGAGATGGGAAGTCTGGGTTCATTGTTCCACGAGGGCTTACGGTGTCTGCCTCAGGGTGGAACTGCCCGTGCAGGCGGGGCTTCGGGGCGTTCTTGCCTCCGGGCTTTGAGCCCTGGTGTGATGAGGAGGGACCGCCTCCTTGACTGGGCCCCCGTTTTCCCCGGGGGGAATGGCCTTCCGGGGGGTCCGACCCCCGCCCCTTAGGTGGTTCCTTGGGGTTTCCCGGAAATTGTGAGGGGATCCGGATGTGCCCCGGCGCTGCGAGTGACACAGCGATGGCTTTGGCCAGGCCTGCCATCATATCCCAAGGGTATCTGCTAAGAGTCGAGGACTCGTTGGTGCCCACATGTGACTGATGCGTGCACCGCATTTGATCCCAGTCCTGGATCGGGAGATCCGTGGCCAGCGTAGTGGCCTTCTTGACCAGCTGGCCCAGGCGGCACTGGTCGAAGGAGATTGCTGTCAAGGAGTTCTCCTCCATCCAAAGCTGCCCCTCCTCTGTGATCCAGAAGGATGAGCATTCCTTGGCTTTGGGCAGCGAGCTGCTCACCACTGGGTCCTCCGGGTGTTCCAGGAAGGACCTGGGCCCTGGCAGAGAAACCGCCGCTCGTGAGGCCCTTGCCAGGCTGGTGATGTACATCTGTCTCAGAATGAGGATGCTGTCATCATCAAGTTGAGTCTGGGCGGCCTGGTCCAGGTGTGGAAGGCCCCAAAGTGTCTCTGGAGTGCAAAGTAGGACCATGTCCTGCAGTTGGGTCCTCCTCCAATGAAGACCACTCGGCCCTGCTTTGCTGCCGTCCTACAGCTCGGGTTGGAGCATATCGTGGTCCCCTTTGGGTCCAGACCGTAGGATGTCTACCGCCACCACCATGCTGGAAAGGTGTGGGTAGTTGGCATGAAGACAGCTGTCCAAGGAAGTTGGGTCTTCCTTGCCTGCATAGAGCAGGACAATGATGGGCCCACTGGATGGAACTTTGGGCGATGTGCCCTGTGTCCATCTCAGCCGCTGTACCAGACGCTCAGGGATGTTCTCCATCCACGGGAAGATGTCCAATCCCGGTGACGGCTCCGTTGGACTTGTCAGGGGGGTAGCTGAAAGGCGTTGGCCCCCTTCATTCAGCCCCACCGAGCTCTTGTGGAAAACCACCGGGTCCTGCTTGATGATGTTGGGCGCCGGAAGTGGGATCGGCTGCTTCCTGGGAGTGTCCCTTGGCGTTGCGGTGTGCTGCCAGTCATCCGGCACTCGGGCCTTCTGGGTGCGGCCCCCCGTGTCAGGGCCCTCGGCACCTGCGGGGAACCGTCCCGTCCCCGCCATATCAGGGCCCTCGGCACCTGTGGCTCGGGACTGAGGCGCCGCCGTTGTGCCGGTTGTGTGGCTGTTCTGATCACGGCGAGGGCGTTGTGCACGCTGGTTCTGCCGTCCCCATCCTTGTTCCGCCGAGGATGGCCGCCACCTGGCCTGTCCCCCCCCTGTGTCAGGGCCCTCGGCACCTGCAGGAGGGGGCTTCTGTGCCTGCTTGGGGCGTTTCCTTCTCGCCCCCCCAGGGCCCTCGGCACCTGAGGCCTCCCGGGGGGTAGGGGTCAGCGCCCCTAGTCAACCCGGGCAGTCCTGCGGGAGGTGGTCCCCCAGGCAGACGCGGCCCATTGCCAGGATGAGGTTGCACTTGTGGGTGCGGCCGCAGTTGCCCGGGCAGCGCCTGCGCATCCAGTTGTTACAGAACTGGTTCCCTTTCGGGTCGGTGGCTGCCTGCTTGTTACCGCCCCGGGACGCCTGATTGTTCAGGTGGGGGGGCTTACCCTTCCCTTTGTTCCCAGGCTTGCCCTTGGACTTCCCCTTGCCCTTGGACTTGTTCTTGCCCTTCTGAGGTGGTGCGTAGTCCATGGATGTCCTGGTTGATGGGCGGCCCCTGGAAAAGGTCTTGATCTTCTCATAGACCTCACGTGTCCAGAACAATGTGTCCTGCCTGACCGACAGCATGGCCGCCTTGAGGGTGTTGCCCTCATGCATCTTCTCGTGAATCTTTCGCCATGCGTTGCGTTCGGCAATTGCCAGGACGTGGTCCTCTGGCGGGGGAAAACGGCCCCCGATGTCCTCACCATAGAACC